TTGTGTTGTTTAGATCAGCAAAATAATTTGGAACAGCCATACCTCTCAACCTTGTTTTTTTCCAGCAACTAAAATGACAGCATTTGTGAAATACTTGAATTGCATTGGTCTATTTCTAGGCTTTGTCCTACTTATGAGGATATGTAATTGTATTGCTTCTGGGTAACTGGTAACTGAGTGGCATTGCTTTTTATAATAATAATAATAATAATAATAATAATAATAATAATAATAATAATAATAATAATTTATTTATACCCCTCTACCATCTCCCAAGGGACTCGGTGTGGCTTACATGTGGCCCACAACACATCAATCACAAAGCAATAACAACTAATAATACAAAGCAATAAAATAAAACTTATAACGAAAAAGCAATAAACATTAACAATAACACAGCGACAGTTAAAACCTATGGCTGGGCCAGATGCAATAATTAAAATTTAAAGATAATGCTGAGTATGAACGGATGAAATATGAACTAGGATAGAGTTTTCAGAGAGGGGTGGAGCATGCAGACATTCCTAGATCCATAGTAAAGTGCATTTAGAGGACATATTGCTGGGAGTTTCCTTATTCTGGGGAGGCACACTGGAATATGCCGAGCATGAACAGATGAATATTTATTTTATTTATTTATTTACTTTGCTTGTATACCGCAGTTTCTCAGCCCGTAGGCGACTCAACGCGGTTCACAACAAGAGCAAAAGACAATCCAACAACATACAATATTAAAACCATTAACAGTATAAAATACAAACTAATGACATCTCAATAACAACACATTAACGTCTCGTAACTAAAATCGTGATCCAATTCGTCATCCATAATTCCGTTTCCTATATTCATCATGTTCATTGCACTATTTATCTGAACGCCTGTTCAAACAGCCAGGTTTTTAGTTTTCTTTGAAACACCATTAGCGAAGGGGCTGATCTAATGTCCATGGGAAGGGCGTTCCACAGCCGAGGGGCCACCACAGAGAAGGCCCTGTCCCTCGTCCCCGCCAGCCATGCCTGTGATGCAGGCGGGATCGAGAGCAGGGCCTCCCCAGAAGATCTTAGAGTCCTGGTGGGTTCATAGGCAGAGATAGGTTCGGATAGGTAACTTGGGCCAGAACCGTTTAGGGCTTTATAGGCCAACGCCAGCACTTTGAATTGAGCCCGGTAGCAAATCGGCAGCCAGTGGAGCTGGTGCAGCAAAGGAGTTGTATGCTCCCTGCGCTCCGCTCCTGTTAGCATCGTGGCTGCCGAACGCTGGACTAGTTGGAGCTTCCGAGCCGTCTTCAAAGGCAACCCCACGTAGAGAGCGTTGCAGTAGTCTAAACGGGATGTAACCAGAGCGTGGACTACCGTGGCCAAGTCAGACTTCCCAAGGTACGGAAGAACTAGGATAGAGTTTTCAGAGAGGGATGGGGCAGGCATGGGAGGTTTTGCCCCTTCACTCCTCTTATGCAGCTACTTTCTCTAATCTATAAACACTGAAAATATGCAGATATATGGACTTGTGTACCCTGACCCCATTTCTAATATCCTTTCTCATACTATCCCCTAACTCCTCAATATACTGCCATGCTAGATTGAATAGTTTCTGAAATAGAGCTCACTTGAATGAGAGTTGGGTACTTTATGGGACCAGGGTCCGAAGGCACAAGAAATTCATTTTGTGAACTCTGAATTAAACTTGATAAGACAAATCTGGAGGTTAACACAGATAGAGAAGTGGTTCCATTCTCCATTCTTCTTCATCCTTTGGGAATCCAGAAATATGGGAGAACACCTTTATCACTAATAACTTGGACAAAAAAGAGAGAAGAAAATGGGAAGGGCTGAGAAAGGGAAATGGTAGTTGGTGGAAAGGCTCATTTCTAGGGTAATCATTCCTTCCAACTTGTCATAGGTATTCACCTGAAAATGTTTGACTTGCTTACCATTAGTTTTGAAAGAGAATTCTACAGATGAGATGTGTTTCCAGTTAGAGGTAAGGCAAAACTTGGATTATAATTCGTATTTGCTAGAAGATCTCATCATGTTCCTACAATGTCATATTTTTCTACCATGATGTTGATTGAAACAGAATAGGGTGGACAATTTTCCAAAGATGTAAAACTGATATTCAGTTTAAATCAAGGTCACTTTCAAAAAACTACTTTTTCCCTCTAACATTTTATGCCAATATACATTTGATCGATGTTGTCTTTCCCCAACACATTTTCCTTAAATAGTAATAATAATAAAGAAATAAGCCTAGCAGCCTAATTCTTTTATTAAATATTCAACATGACGTCCATCTGTTCCAAATATTTTTGAAGTTTTGAAGTCGTAGTCATAACATGACAATTTCAATGACATTTGGAAACAGAGAGCCAAGAAAATGCAAACCAATGCATAATGCACATTCTAAGGCAATATACTACTTAGTAAGATATACGTATCATTCTTTTTTATTGACATTCACTGCACTGTCATTAAGAATTTCAGAAATTCTATCTTGATATGAACATTAAACAGTAAAGTTTTAGCTATCAGAAAAATTATGATTTATGCTTTCTCTCTTTACTTTATATATTACCCTTTGACATCATGGATGTAGTGGATAAGTTAAAAGTTAAAACATTACAACTTATATATTCTTCGCCTTCATGTAGTTTTGTGATGTTTGTAATGTTAGTAAGTTTCGCAGAATATGCCACAGCCAGGCCCAAGCACAGATGGAAGGTTTAAAAGGCTATATTTTACCAGGATCCACCAGGTCTCCATCAGGGGCAGCTAGTGGTTTCTATGTTAGAATACAGTAAACCCAGTCTTTTATTTCAGGTTTTCAGGGAAAAATTCAAGGTGGTGATCACTTTGGTGCTAGAGTTTAACACCTAGAACAGCTTATTTAAAGTCTAGAATAAACTCCAAAAGCAATCCATTGTATCCTTGACATGGGAGATACAGATTACTAATATTCTAGCCCAAAGTATACCTTTACAATTAACAATTTCTAATTTATGTCTGAAGATATTGATGGGACTATATCCCTGCTTCTATATTCTTTTTGTCCAGATCTTGAGAGGTTTTTTGGGCTCATCTACATGAATGTACTCCATGGTACATGCCACTTTGTCCTGCATTTTAAAAAGTTATAGGATGTGCCAGAGCTTCCTTAACACTCTAGAGCTCACCCAAATTTTGGGCCTGTGTAAACCATTGGGCCACTTCCTATTCAGAGGCATCTGTGCCTTTCCCTGGACTTGGAAAGTCTGAGGACAGTGGGTGGCACTTTGCTTCCCCTTGCATTCCAGAGCTTAGTGGTGACAATTGGACATGAAAATGGTGGTGGTTGCTGCTCTTTGCTTGAAGTGATGATAGTAAGAAAAATGAAGCGATCCGAGATCGGGGGGTGGGATTTCCATTCCCCCCTCTCTCACATCACTTTGTTCTTCCATTTATTGATATTACAGTGCTAAGTAGTGACCACCACTATTTTCATAGCCATTAGTCTCTGTTAAGGTCAGATCAACAGGGGCAAGGCAAGGGCAGTAGTTAAGTGTCACTGAACCAATTTCTGCACTGAGCCAGTTGCCATGGGTGATGCCGATCCAGAGCACTCAATTCTGGATCAGCATTGCAATTTGTGGCACATGTAGAAGGCATTCTTCTTGCAATCACAATGAGTACACAGTTCCATTCCAGACGGTGAGTTTTTGACTCAGGCACTCTACAGTATACATAGTATGTAATGCATTTATCTAGTGGCTTATAATTTGAGAGACAGCAAAATGTATGGCTCCCCATGTCACACACCCAGAATCTATTGTGTTAAGACATGAGTGAGGATAAAAGGTCATAATAAAGATATTTTTAAAAATAAATGGTAAAAAATGAATTGCAAGGATCAGCTAAGAGTAATTTAAATTGTATTGCTTGCTTTTGAATAGAACATAATTATGAGGGTATTGTCTCTTCTCAATAAATGAATGGAGAGTTTGACACCAGACTCTCTTCTTTCATAGAATGGTCACTGTAACTGTGTTTCTAGGAACCCATATTAATTTTAAAAAATCATTGAAATGAAATATTTGGTAGCCTTCTCTTTGTTTGTTTGTGTAAATGCCCTATTTATTTCTGGATTTGGACAACTCTAGATTTCAGTGTTATCACTGACATTAATTATAAGGGATTGATTGCAAAATTCTTTGCTAATGAATAATGTTTTGAAGTGCTGTTCTGCATTAATTGATTAAACAAGTGAGGAAAACTTTATTTCTTGTGCAGGAAACTTGAGCAGGGTCATTTCTTTTTTAAAAAATATACACAATCCCACACATTTTTCTAATCAGAGTAATTTTTACCCAACACTTCAGGGCATTGTAATACAAGGAGAGTGCTGCAGAAGAATATTGATTTTCTCCACAGCAGAGAGAATTCTATTTAATTATTCATCCTCACATGTGGGGGCAAAGTAATCAAAGATTTGCATCCCTACTTCAGGGAACGTCACTCTAGACTGGAGAAAAACCGCTATTTGCCATTTTCATACTCCTTTTCCCCATTTCAAATGTATTTTTGCATATTATAATAATATTGCAATGGGATTTATGTGATTAATGCAATAATGGGATGGAACAAACATAAAATTGACCTAGCTTTGAAATATTGTGATTTTCCGATATGTAATTAACAATCACATACTGAAATGTATGTGGTGTGATATAGGTGTGGGAAACTTCACATCATCAATTACAGGACATTTTTGCAACGCTTATTTTTATTTAACAAACAAAGTATTGCTGGCATAGAAATGGAAATAATCAATCTAATAAAATAAGCAATGAGACAAAACTATTTGCCCAGAGCTGTGATGATAGGTACCATGAATATATTACATTAAAAATCCAATAAGGTTTGGCTTAATTCTCAGAGGCATCTGCATTCAGAATTCTGTTCTCACACTTACTCCAATATAGTAATGCATATTAATGTTTATCGTATCTCTTTTTTTATTTATTAAAGGGGTAGAGGGCCATTGAAGAACACATCGGATGTGATTAATGCAGCAAGAATGATCTCAGAGTCAGGATCAAGAATGGATATGCTTGCAAGGCTCATTTCTAACCAGGTAGGCTAGCACTGTGGTACATTAAATAAATTATTGTTGTTTCTTACAACTGTCTCCATGCTCAGAATATCACTGTACCCTTTGTAGTTAGACTCCTTCATCTTCTACAGTGTGTTTTCTGTGTCAGACAAACTCCAATGAATGATCAAAACCAGCACTCGGTTGTCAAGTAAACTATTGAAATAGGAGCACATGAACTAGTTCATTGTTTGTCAGCCAGATGAAATACTTCTTTTTAAAGCTTTTTATTTTTTGTAAATGAAATAAATAATAGCAAAAATTCAATACAACTATAAAGACAAAGTAAAAGAAGAAAAAGAGCAACAACAGAGTGAACTGGGCATCACAAACATTAGCCTCTTCCGGATGGCATACAGTTGCAACCCTAGGGTTCCTGCCATCCACCTTGCCCCTTTACTGTCTATATCCTTCCCTGAATCTGCTACTCAGGTCTCAAGGTGATCATTAGATAAATGGCTGTGCTGATCAGAGAGTTTAGTATGGGAAAATACATGACCAAGTCTTCCCTTCAATTCTTAAATGAAAATGGTCAGACATAACTGTAGAAAAGAAAACCTCTAAAAATTCAGTATATACCAATTAAGTAACCCATGGACTCTTTACAATCCCCAGTTTCCAAAATCCTATTCAGATCTTATCGATGCTTCTGAACTTCCTAACTTGTATTCATAGTAGTATAAAATCTACATTGAACTGGATTATATGGCAGTGTGGACAGATTTTGAGGATTATCTGCCTTGACAGGCCCATAGCCAGGATTTTGTTTCGGGGGGGGGTGAGTTTGGTTCGGGGGGGCTGAGTCTGAGTGAAAGAGGGTCCATGGTATCCTTCTGGGACGCCTCGCGGGGGGGGGTCTTGGAGGTACTGTTTTGCAGTGGCTCCGGTCATTCCTGGAGGGTCGATCTCAGAAGGTGTTGTTGGGGACACCTGTTCAACCCCACAACCATTGTCTTGTGGGGTTCCTCAGGGCTCAATATTGTCTCCCATGTTGTTTAACATCTACATGAAGCCGCTGGGGGAGATCATCCGGAGTTTCGGGGTACGGTGTCATCTGTACGCGGATGATGTCCAACTCTGTCACTCCTTTCCACCTGCTACTAAGGAGGCTGTCCAGGTCCTGAACCGGTGCTTGGCCGCTGTGACGGTCTGGATGAGGGCGAACAAATTGAAATTGAATCCAGACAAGACAGAGGTCCTCCTGGTCAGTCGCAAGGCCGAACAGGGCATAGGGTTACAGCCTGTGTTGGATGGGGCCGCACTCCCCCTGAAGACGCAGGTTCGCAGCTTGGGTGTGACCCTGGACTCATCGCTGAGCCTGGAACCCCAGGTTTCGGCGGTGACCAGGGGAGCATTTGCACAGCTAAAGCTTGTGCGCCAGCTGCGCCCGTACCTTGGGAAGTCTGACTTGGCCACGGTAGTCCACGCTCCGGTTACATCCCGTTTAGACTACTGCAACGCTCTCTATGGGGTTGCCTTTGAAGACAGCTCGGAAGCTCCAACTAGTCCAACGCTCGGCAGCCATGATTTTAACAGGAGCGGAGCGCAGGGAGCATACAACCCCCCTGTTGCGCCAACTCCACTGGCTACCGATCTGCTACCGGGCTGAATTCAAAGTGCTGGCGTTGGCCTTTAAAGCCCTAAACGGTTCCGGCCCAAGCTACCTATCTGACCGCATCTCTGCCTATGAACCCACCAGGACTTTGAGATCTTCCGGGGAGACCCTGCTCTCGATCCCGCCTGCTTCTCAAGCTCGGCTGGCGGGGACGAGAGATAGGGCCTTCTCGGTGGTGGCTCCTCGGCTGTGGAACGCCCTTCCTACGGACATTAGACTAGCACCATCTCTAATGGTATTCCGCAAAAGGTGAAGACCTGGATGTTTGTGCAGGCGTTTGAGTAATTTAGTGCAATCTGGTAATGGAACATAGGAATGGAACAATGGACGACGAACCTGGACTACGCTTGGATGATGAGAAGATTGGGTACGGTTGTTTTTTGTAATAATTGTGCATTGTAATTGCTTATTGGTAATTTATGGATAATGTGTTAAGTCAATTGTTATATGTTGTATGGAACCACTGCTGTTTCTACTGTTTTTACTGTTTGTGAACCGCTGTGAGTCGCCTTCGGGCTTGAGATACAGCGGTATATAAGCAAAGTAAATAAATAAATAATAAATAAATACTCTAGCAAACCTTTTGTATCATTACCCCAATACCCCCAAGCATATGGGATATATTGAGCATGGTGATCAGATCATGATATGAATAAACATAACAGTTTAAATAATGTACCAGTAAAGCCTTCTCGCGGACCACCATGAGAATTTCGGGGGGGGGGGCTGAAGCCCCCCAAGCCTCCCTCCCCCCCGGCTATATGCCTGTGCCTTCATATTCTGGGTTATAGGGCTGTGTGGAAGGGCCCTGAGTAATCCTTTAAAGAAAGCCTTTAAGCACCCTCACACACCCATATAACTCAGAATATCAAGGCAGATAATCCACAATATCTGCTTTGAACTAGGTTAGCTGAGTCCACACTGCCATATAATCCAGTTCAATGTGGATTTTATACAGCTGTGGGGAAGGAGCCTAAGTTATAGCTTTTGCTTTTGTAGACTCCTTTTCACAGCAGGCTTTGGTTGACTGGTTCTGACCGGGCTTGCCCTGCTCCTGATCTCACACCAGCAAAGAAAGGAACAAATGCAGTCACAGAAAAAAAAAGGAAATATCAGTCCTCAATACACTAGAAGAAAAGAATTTGCATCCTCCCCCTCCCCCCCTCCCATATTTAAAGGACTGTTTTAATGAAGTACTAGCACACTGTCCCATGCATAAATAGGAAAATAGCTTGCTGTTTATCTGCAGTTGCCCCTCACTCTCCACCAACCAGGAAATGTCTAGGTTTGGAGAGGCTGCACCAAAGAAATAGTGAGCTTGATGACATGGCATTCAACATGAGACTATTGTAACTACATCTTCTAGCACAGGACTGTGAACAACAATTTTTATATACAGCATAAAAGGCTCCCTATGGATACTTGAAATTAGCAAGAATGCCATATTAGGAACATGAGTATCTCCTGCTAGAAGTTGCAGAAGCTTTTTTGCAGTGCAATCCATACTTCTTTTCTAGTTATAATGCTTGCCCCAGATATATAGGGATTATGTACTCAAATGAATGCTGCATGTGCAGTTCCTCTCTCAGTGCAACTGCCAGGAGAAAGGAGCAGGGACTTGGAGCTGCTTGATACTACTGCTGACATTCTGACCTGGATATGTGTACACAGTACTAGCACTTGTGCACATTTCACTGTGACTGAGTCTTCATGACTACATTGTTGTGATATTTGAATGTATGTTTTTCACTGCATTTTTCTACTTGTCAAAACTGGGAATAACTCAATCATTTAAAGTTTTTTCTTCTTTTTTTTCTTGCACCTTGCCTTCGACAAGGTCCTCCATGACCTTCTGGCAAACAAACTAGTCCATTGTGGCCTAGGCAAAACTACGGTGAGGTAGATCTGTAATTGGTTAAATGGACGAACCCAGAGGGTGATTCTCCCTAATGCGTCCTCTTCATCCTGGAAAGAAATGACAAGTGGAGTGCCGCAGGGTTCCGTCCTGGGCTCGGTCCTGTTCAACATCTTTATTAATGACTTAGATGAAGGGCTAGAAGGTATGATCATCAAGTTTGCAGACGACAACAAATTGGGAGGGATAGCCAATACTCCAGAGGACAGGAGCAGAATTCAAAACGATCTTGACAGATTAGAGAGATGGGCCAAAACTAACAAAAGTGACAAATGCAAGATACTCCACTTAGGCAGAAAAAACGAAATGCAAAGATACAGAGTGGGAGATGATGCCTGGCTTGAGAGCAGTATGTGAGAAAAAGATCTTGGAGTCCTCATGGACAACAAGTTAAACATGAGCCAACAATATGATGTGGCGGCAAAAAAAGCCAATGGGATTTTGGTCTGCATCAATAGGAGTATAGTGTCTACATCTAGGGAAGTCATGCTACCCTTCTATTCTGCTTTGGTTAGACCACACCTGGAATATTGTGTCCAATTCTGTGCACCACAATTCAAGAGAGATATTGACAAGCTTGAATGTGTCCAGAGGAGGGCGACTAAAATGATCAAGGGTCTGGAGAACAAGCCCTATGAGGAGCGGCTTAAGGAGCTGGGCATGTTTAGCCTGAAAAAGAGAAGGCTGAGAGGAGATATGATAGCCATGTATAAATATGTGAGAGGAAGCCACAGGGAGGAGGGAGCAAGCTTGTTTTCAGCTTCCCTGGAGACTAGGACACGGAACAATGGCTTCAAACTAGGAGATTCCATCTGCACATGAGGCAGAACTTCCTGACTGTGAGAGCTGTTCAGCAGTGGAACTCTCTGCCCCAGAGTGTGGGGGAAATTTCTTTGGAAGCTTTTAAACAGAGGCTGGACGGCCATCTGTCAGGGGTGATTTGAATGCAATATTCCTGCTTTTTGGCAGGGGGTTGGACTGTATGGCCCATGAGGTCTCTTCCAACTCTTTGATTCTATGATTCTATGATCATTTTTATTAGGTAAAATAACTTGTTTAAAATATCATATCATAGAATAGAAAAGAGGGAACGGGGGGACGGGCAGGAGAAGATGACAACGGAAAAGAGAGGGAGAAGAGAGAAACGAGAAAAAAGAAAAAAATGTAAGAAAGAGATGATTTAGGGTTGTGGGAAAAATGGGGTAGAGAGGGAGGAAAAAATTCATCATCTTCCAGTCTTCTTTCTCGTGGCTTATATTGTCCATTGTTGCATTCTTTTTAGTTTCTGCTTCCTCTTTGTCCTTCTTCAATGTGTGACAGATTTTTCTCTTTCTCTTTTGTTTTACTATATTATCATTTTAATTTTTTCTTGTATCATGTATAAAAGTACCAATCTGTTGTTTTCTTTGGTTTCCCTTGGTGGTTTGCCTCCTTGGAGAAGCACCTCTTAGG